TCGATTATTTAGTTTCACAAATAACTTTTTTGTATTTGCTTAATAACATAGTCAATCATGATGGCCGGGCAATTTCGGGTACGGGCTTAAAACTTCGTAATTTCAAATTGGTTTAGTAAACGATTTAAGTAATTTTAAAATGCAGAGCACCTTTAAGCAATTTTTTAAACGGCGGAAAGAGTGTTCCGTGTAATACTGATAGGAACAGATAAGCCTAGGTAATGTGTCATCTTTAAACGATCTTTGTAGCAAATTTGAATTAAAAGAATTTTCGATGTAATATTCTCTTTTAAATGTATGTGTCCTTACATTAAGGAATCTGAAGAAAATTAGCATTTTCAATGCCTTCCGCCTATATCTTTGCCGCTTTTTTGTTCATCAGTGTTGTTAAGCAAATTTTAGAAATTCGAATAAAAGGGTACAATCACTGAAACAGTGACCACCTGAGGTGTAGAAAAGGAAAACTGTTGCTGTGTTGGATGAAAAAGCTTCTATTTTGACTAATCATTGTCGCGTCTGAACTGATCCGGCCACTTAACAGCGATATTTGGCATTTGAACGACACTTCCAAAGAGCATGCATTAAGTTCAGTGTCCAGCTGAGTCGCTACTAGAAAGAGAAAAACCAAAAGAAGCAATTATAGCCTTACGATTTAACAAATAAAGAAGCCTCGACTGTTCTCTGTTCTGTTGTAAAGCACGCAGGAAGCGGTAGAGCACGAAAGAAGTGTAGGGGAAAACACGAGACGTAGACGAGTGTTTTTCCCTACTTCTGGAGTGCTCTACCGCTTCCTAAGTGCTTTACAACAGAACAGAGCACAGTCGAGGCTTCTTTAATTGTTTTATGATAAAGAATCAGATAATTTCCCCACGCATACGGCTGAATTTTCAAACCAAACTTTATTTTCCAAACGAGCAAAAGTGGCGTCAGCCATGCACTGTTCCCTGATAAAGCACGCTAAAATAAGCCAATCACAATCGTTGTTAGAATTGTTCAAATAATTTGATTGGCTAACGAAGCGACAGCTGTCAATCACAAACTGGACTTCAGCTAAGCTTTCAGTTTCGAGTAGTTTGAGCGACTTTCGAGAGAGGAACGATGCCTTCAAAGTTCGCTTTTAAGTAAATGTTTAAATACGGATCTAAACGCAGGTAAAGGTTAACAGTCCAGAGGAATCCGGCCGTATAGTGGCCCATGAAAACGAGCACTTTTCCCGTGGAAATTACGAAACGCGGAGCTCAAAGCTTGTGGATGAAATGCGAAATGCCGAGTTGAATTTGAAAGGGCTACAGTTAGTTACGGCTTGTAGCCGCATGTAGCAAGATTGCCCGAACTAGCGTAAAAGTTAGAAAGACTTAACGGCTCCCACTAGTTCTACTCCGAGTACAGAAGAGAATATCAGAGCAAGTTTTTCACTGACCACTCGTCGGTTTACTTCGCTGAGATGACCGGAGCACGAGCGTTTCTACACTGCATGTAAGTGTTGTTTGAGCAAATGAGCATTTTTAACTGTAAATTTACAAAAATAAAGCTTCTCATCATAAACAGAAACAGTTCAATTGTTGTTTTCTGTCGTTGTTTTACTTCTTAGTATAATTTCTGCCTTCGTAACAATTATGTCTTTATCGAAGCACTGTCTAGGTTGAGAATTTGTTTATTTCGCTAGAGCTGTACATGTTTTGTCGGCGGGAATCTAGCAAAACTTGTTATTTTAGTACACTTTTAACACTACTGTT